AAAAAGATGAAGACAAGGAAAAAAATTGTCTGAGAAAAATGACAGAAGATAAGGTGAATAAAAATTTTTCTACTGAATCATGGGCAAAAAAATCAAGAACAAATATCTATTTCTCAAGAAGTGGATCTTTATTTAAAAAGCGACAAGTTCAAAACGGTTCACAAAATAAATTCAAAAATTCATCCAAAAGTAAAATACCAATAACGTTTGATATCTTAAAAAAAACGTCTAAAAATAATATTAAAAAAACAAAACTTATTTTTGACATTGTGAGTATCAATGATAAAGTTATCTCCAAGTTGTCAAAAATAGAAAATAAATAAATATAATTTAAAAAATAGAAAAAAAATGAGTACAACGAAAAACAGGGTAACTAAAAAATTACCCAATGAAGCAGCTGTTAACTCTTATAAGTAATGGTCAGAAACTGATAGTATTAAACAAAATGTAACGACCGTTAATTTGTTGGAAAATAATTACGAAAACAAAAATCAAAATTTTTCTCCGTGTATAATAACGTGAATAGTAACATTCAAACTAGGGCTGTCGCAAGAATCAAGAACTTCTCGATATTGTCTTGTCTTTTCTTGAAAAGTCAAGACGATATCAAGACAATATGCATGTAATAACATTCAAGATAAGTACAAGAAATGGCTATCAAGAAATTCATATTGTCAAGATAAGTTACTCAAGGTCTTGAATATCTTGATCTTGACTATTATTTAAATTACCAATAGCGCTGAAATAAACAAGAGTTAAATGGAAATAAGTACAGTATAAGAAAATAGAAATGTGAAGAATAGAGCAGCATGTAGCTAATAGAATGTATGTATTGTAGGTATCTCTTATGTTTTCTTCACTCGACTATGGAAGAAGAAAATTCTTAACCGTGTCAACCGACCGGCACGACGGTACCTGCCTGGTGGCTAATTTAAACTCATATACTATATCGAATTAACAAAAGCAAGAATGACAACACCTTAAACCAAGTAACCAAGCTCACTTCTCGATTATTTAATAAAAAAATGATTAATTTTAATATTACTTTTTCAATAATTTTTTATTAAGTAATCAATAAGCGCGTTGGATGATAACCTGTAATTAGGTTAAAGACGCTTTTTTTAAATAATTATTTAGTTTTTTAGTTTTTGCGCACTTTCTGAAATGGGCTCACTCTAGCCTATAGCCATCTGGCGGCGAAATCCATAGACATGAGAGACAGGATGTACTGGAACTCGGACTCTCTCTTTCGCACCTAGTCTCACAATATATATGATGCTGCCTCCAGGTATATATGCTCTAAGGGCTGTACTGACTGTCAGTGCCACCAGCACTTCCATCTTTACACATAGTGTTTAAACGCTGAACTATTAAGAAAAGGCTGCACGCGCGGTCTGTCCCAATTAATATACAATCTTACTATCACTCTCCCTCTGCTACGAAGAGCGAAGTAACTGACGTGTATACATCAGTATAAACGAATGTCACTCGCGAGAGAACACGTGCGAATTTTTATTATACGGAGAAAACTGACGTCAGCTCTTCAAGCGCTTACTAAAATTTTGTGTCATCTGTTTCGTTAAACTTCTAAATAAATATTTTTTAAGCAAAATTTTGTGAATTACTGTGCAAGTGCTTGATTCTTACGAAAAAATGTCTAAGAGAAAAATCATTGCGTCTCCTACATCAAGTAAAAAATTTTGCATCTAGATATCAGAAGAGAAAGCTGATAATCACAAAATAATAATGAATGCAAATAAAGTTACGAGTGTTGAAATCACGAATAACATTCGCAATAAAAAATTTACAAAAATATGTGGCAAAGGCAAATACGCTTAGAGTTTCCGGATGGCGTTAAATGACAAAGGTGGAAAAATTGGTATTTGTATTCTATGCGAACAACAGAAGCTACCTGAGTTGAAGTTCTAAGGACTAACAGTAATACAACTGGAATGAAAAATCATTTGCGCTTAAATCACAGGGATGAATACTCTCGAATATTCCCACAAGATTCTATTTCTAAAAAACAGAGGACAATAAAAGAATGTATTCCTTCAATGGTACGTAAATACAATAATTTCTTTTTAGTAAACTGACCTATCTTATACATCTAAGTATACTTTTAGCCTTGACATTGTCTTAATCTGGCTTCAGCATATACTTTTAGAGAAACAACGTATTTTTTTTGGGGTCCCTAATAAAAAAACATCAAAGTGTGTGTTCAAATATTTAGTGGTATGTGTATTTTTTTGCAAAACGGTGTCATGTGTCAAAGTTGAATGAAAATATATTGTATTCTGATAAAGCCACTCCATTTAACGTTGCAATGCTTCCTTGAAATTTACTTAACCTTACCGGAAGCCTGGTAACAACCATGTACATCGTATACATTGCTGTTTACGACGTTGCTCGTAGCTTTTTTTATTGTTTGCATATTTGTAACATATAGCACGCGCGTGGTGGTACTACCAGGAGTACCGTGCGGGCTTCCGTAATATATATAGTAAGTAGGAGCTATTTATGTGGGGCCGAGCGACAGCATCGAGTTTTGGCGTTTGGCGGCCAATCTACACGCCCTATAGGGACGTGTAAATATACACAGCCAGGCAAGGTGTATCCATACGCGCTGTGGAGCAGGCTCATTAGCTTTTGTTGTTTCTCTTTTTACTCTTTTAAATATGTTGTTTATTAATCGAAATATTTCATAATTGTATTTTATCATATTTTTTACTAATTTAATCTCATCACTGACACTACGACGTATATAACTACATTTTTTATATTAAATTTAATATTCTTTCCAAATTTCTTACACGCTTTAACTTTATTTAATTTAGTAACA